TTTATTAATCAGATTTATCAAATTAGTTTTTAAGGGTTTTTTAATTGAGTGATATATAATTCAATTGCTTATTAGTATTAAGGCCGTTAAGAGCTGTTAGGATTTTGATAAAGTTGTATTTCATAGGGTAAAAAGAATATATAATTTTGAAAGATATAAGAATAATATTGCTGCTAAAACTACTGTGTTAAAATGATGATGTAAAATAAATAATTCCTGAATCTTTTTGATGAATATAAATTTTGGAAGATATTAGAATAATATTGCTGCTAAAACTACTGCTAATGAAGTTATTATTAAGGTCAAAATTTTGGGAAATTTATGTAAGTTGTAATTACTGTTGAAATGATGATGTAAAATAAATATTTCCTGAATAATTGTTGCAATTGCACGAGATTGAATTATTATATTCGTCAATTAGAATTAGCTTTCCTCAATTCTCTATATTCACTAAGTTTTGGTATTCTCATAGGTAGTAGACTTATTCGTAGAGAATCTTTAATTTATTTGTCTAATCTGTTACATCTACCTATACAATTTAAACATTTCAATTATCCTACAAATTTTATATTCAAATTAAATGTTTATTTATAAATGACTTTTCTTTTTCAATACACGTATTTGAATGTTGATAAACTAATTAAATTCACCATCAATTTGTAAAGCCCCATCATATGGATATTATAAGTCAAAAGATTTACAATTCCTCACATCTAGGAAATAATATAAAAATAATATTGAACAACTTTGCAAATATTTGCATTTCAAGACAACACAAATCTATTTTTCATATGAAAGTCTATAACAATATTAATGCGTTAAAAAAATACTCAAATGCCAAAATCTATAAAAAAAATATATAATATTAAAACCTTATAAATTTGGTCGTTTTGAAATTTATATGAGAATATTGCTCTTTCTATCAAACTACTCATGAGTAGATGATGATGTTATACTTAAATTAATTAAAAAATTCAACTGAATAAAAAATCTACAAATTTGTTATTTAAATATTTGCATATTAAAATAGAAAAAATAGGAATATGGCCTTAATATTATAAGAAGCAGTTAAAAGATTATTGATCAAATTATGTCATAGTGAAAAAATTAATACATATTTCTTAACCCACCTAATTTATAAAGGTTCTTTTTACTCCTTCAAAAAATTATTATATCGGTTCAGTTACGGTTCTGATATTTATAAGGGTTATAACAATTTATAGGGTTTATTTCGAATTCACTCCAGGTCTCTGGTAAAAGGTGACTAATGTCCTAAGCATCCATTTTTAGAAAAATTTAATTGTTTACTCAAGTATTTTAAATTTTAAATAGGAATCAAATAATACATAGTGTAAAAGATGACCAATTTCCTAAATGGTCAATTTTGAGAAAAAAATTAATTTTGCCCAGAGACCTGCAGGCCCGGCCCCAAACCCAGCCCGGGCCGGGCCGTATTTTAAATTTTTTAAATATACCCGGGCCGGGCCTAAAAAAAATTTTTTTAAACATATCCGGGCCGGGCCTAAAAATTCTTAATATTTTTTATAAAAATTTTTACATTATGAGTTAATGGTTATAAGATTATATTATATTATAGTTATGATTAATATAATATTGGGTGATGGTTAACACTACCTAACAACCCACAGATCGATCTAATTATTAATTTCCTGCAAATTTATTCAAAGTATTAATATATTTTTTTATAATTCATATCTAAATTTTTACAACATATTTTACCAAAACAATCAAATAAAGGAATTTCTTAAATAAGCCCCAATATTCAAGTATTATTAATATATTTTTTTATAATTCATATCTAAATTTTTAGAATATATTTTACCAAAACAATCAAATAAAGGATTATCACTTCTTAAAGTTTGTAATTGATTTTACTTAATATAAAGCATTTTTTAATTGAAAAATTTGTTTTAAAGTATCATTTTATTTCTCTTTTTCTCTGTCCCAAATTCAAGCAATTACGTATGTAGTCAGGGACAGATCGCAAAATGACGAAAAACTATATAAAAGATTATATTAAATTACAAGAGGCTCAGGAAGTAAATGAAATACCATCGACCAGTCAAATTACGACTGTTGCTAAACAAACTGAATCGTTTTATGACAAATGGGGCGATGGTAATTCTGGTAATATGTCAATACCCGATGATGAATATTATAATTACATAAATAATAGATAAAACATTTAAGGTGGATAATTTGTTAGAGTGGTGGGCGGCTCATCAAAGCGAATTTCCAATTTTAGCAAAATTGGCAATTCCTGCTTTAAGTGCAAGCTGTGAGCGGAATTTTTCCACTACTGGGAGAATTCTTGAAGAAAGAAGAAGTAATCTTCAACCTGAAAAGGTAGATATGCTTCTCTTTCTTCATAATTTGTGAATTTTTAATATCTTTCTTGAGTATAGGGTTTCGTCAATCATGCTGGTTTTTTACTTTGCAAACTGTCAAATATTTATTGCATTTATTATATTTACCTTGAGTCATGAAAGTTTTTAATCCAACATTTTTCATTAATTTGTTAAAAATTTATATTATAAAATAAATTATATTAATATTGTGCAATTAGATTATATTTTCAAAATACTATTTATTATACATGCATTTTTTTAAATAGCGATTTATTTTTATTTTATAAATTAAATAGTAAATTAAATACAATATATTATATTCTCAAAATATTTTCCATTTTTATAAATTAAATATTAGTTTTATTTTTTTTAAATGTAATATAAAATATAGTATATGACAAATATTATTACCATTTTTATGAATATTAGTTTTATTTTTATAAATGCAATATAAAATATAGTATATGCTCAAAATATCCATTTTTATAAATAACAGTTTTATAATTTTTATAAATTCAATATAATATTCTCAAAATATTAGCTTTTTACATGCATCGCTGAAAAATATGGTAAAATACCTCATAGGTGAATTTTTGTATATACCAGGTCGAATATAATTTTAAAAAATTCCGAGCCGGGCCTGAAATTTTTTTTTAAAAAAATATCCGGGCCGGGCCTTAAATTTTTAAATCCGGGCCGGGCCTGGCCGTAAAAAAGGGCCGGGCCGGGCCTTAAATTTTTAAATCCGAGCCGAGCCGGGCCGTAAAATTTTTTTTTTAAAATATCCGGGCCAGGCCTAAAAAATTTAAAACCGGGCCGGGCCGTGCAAATGGTACCTCTGCAGGTCTCTGATTTTGCTTAATTGATGTAAAAAGTTAATAAAATTATATTTTATTATAAAAAAATGGTATATTTTAACTGTGAATTTAATATTGTCTTAATAAGTAAATTCATAGGTAATAAATAAATATTTTGTCTAAGTCTATTTTGAATATACATCTAATAAATATAGTAGAGAAGATGGCAAAATTAAATGCTCATTTTTTTAAATTAATTAATTTTGTACATAAATTTTAATTTGATATTGAAAACATAAGGTGATTTATTCTTCATGTTTAGAAGATTATTATCAATCACTTATCATCAATTAATTATTATTGATAATAATAAATATAGCCTGTAATGTTGTCAGCTATAAAATGTATTTTATCTCCTTTATTAAATATATGTAATAATTCGATAGAAGATAATCTTTAAAATATTTTAATTATACGGCTTAATATTATTTTTTAGAAAAATAATTATTTTTTAGAAAAATAATAATTTTTTATTATAGTTATACATCTTCTAAATTTCTAATAAAATTTTGTGAAAACCCCTCCAACTTTAATATCATCACGAAATTCAGCTATTGAAATTGAAGAGCAAGTTCATTGGAAATAATTAAGAATAATTTCAAAAATTTTTTGAAAATATTTATATAACGATTAAACCTTTATTGAGTGTTCTTTTTTTTAAATAAAAAAACAGTTTATTGTATTATAAAAAAATGAATAAATTTGAATTTGTTTTTCTTATTTCTAGTCTTATAAAAAATTATTTTTTTGGACAGCAACCTAACTGAAGTCCTATTTATACAAATAAAAAGGCCAGGTCTAGCGTTGTCACCCGTTATCCGACTTCATAATATATAAATAAATACTTAAACATAAAAATATCCATTTTATTCTCATCCCCTTTCTATGATGCTAAAATTTAAATGTTCTGCAATCACTATTGTTACCATTTAAAAGTTAAATTATTTGATTCAAGGATATTTTTCAAAAAATTAAAAAATTAATGGTTACGATTTAGATGTTTTATTCGATACCTATTTTAATTTACAATATTTGAGCAAAAAAAGTTATCATTTGGTCACGATTCTTATTTAAAATTAATATTCGCAAAAAGTTAAATTTTTCTAAAAAAATAACCATTTAAAACATTGGTCACGTTTTAGAATATATTTATTCAATTTTTATTTAAAATCTGTAATATTTAAGCAAAAAATTAAAATCTACGCTATGATGTAAGCAAAAAATTAAATTTTTCTCAGAAAATGACCATTTAGGACATTAGTCACTTTCTACACTATATTATAATTCGATTCATTATTTAAAAACATTTAGGAGAAAAATAATTTTTTGTTAAGAGTATCCCATAATGGTGGAGTTAAATTAAATTTTATCTGAAATCATTGAACTATTTTTCACATCGTCACCTGAGAATTAGGTGATTCCATATTTCTGTCAAAAATGACCTTTTACATAAATCAATTTTTTTATTTCTATTTATATAAAAAAATCCGAAATATTTATAAAATAAAGTTAAATTATAGTCAATATAAGGTATTTCAAGATATTGAAATTATAGAAACTTAATTTTTAAAATAGCTCTCCTGTAAAATTACGAAAAATGGAGATGAAATAATCGAATTCTCAGCTGACTATGTTTAATATCCCAAGAATGTTAGTTTACATGGATCCTTCCCAGTAATGCAATCAAAGCATAGTAAGCAATTCGTTCGGCAAAGTGAGCAACACAAAGAACATATTTTAAAACAAGGATAAAGGCAGGTGAAAAAGAATATACCGAAAGCAAAACAGCCTATACCAATTATTATAGCGAATTTTTTGGAATGTTGTTGCACTGTGGCTACCCATATGAACTTGTCCTTTTTTTATAAATTGTTAGTTTCGAAAATATTATTTTATTTATTCATTTTTTAATTAAATATTTATTTATAATAACTGCAAAGAATTAATCCTGCAATAAGATTTTACTTATTCAAGCATTTTAGGGTGTTCATATCAAAAGATATTTTATTTTATATAGGTGCATAAAATCTCAACACTACACTAAATTAATACATACAAAAAAATCTTTAAAATAAATCTAGGTAATTGGCTCAAAAATTTTTTTTTTTTTTTAAAAAAAATTTAAATACTTCAAAACATTTGCAAATTTTAAAATTTTAAGAAATTATGTTAAATTTTTTAAATTTATAAAATTTTCCAGAATTATGATTAAAGATGGAAAGAATGTTTTTATATTTAAAATAGTTTATTTATTTTCATTAAAGTTTCGAAAGTTTGTAAATTTAATAAGGACACAGGCTAAATAAAACAACTTTATTATTTTACCCGCTTATATTAATTAACTCATCTGACAAATAACCTAAATTTACCTCATTCCAATATTTAGAGTCATAATCATAGGGATAGTCATAATTGTCATGCCATTTCCCAGATAGCTTTGGGGGTTCTTCCTTCGTCATTCCATATTTTTTATTACTCTTGTTTTCATTTAAATTTTTAAACAAAATTAATTCATTTTTCTCTTGGCTTATCTATGATAATATTTATTTTTTGCTATATATAGACAGGTCTCGTTTCAATTTGAACGGAACAAACACTAAATTTAAAGTTAAATTTTCATTTTATACTCCAAATATTTAACGAAAAACTCTTAGATTAGGCGAAAAGAAATTTTGTTCTGATATTACTAATTTATTTTACGAATTCAATTATTTAACCTAGTTTTGAGTGAGAATCAAAATATTAACACAAAAATGCCTAATTCTTACAATCTTTGCATTACGATTATTTTAAAATAATGAATTTCAAAATTTAAGAAATTTACATTTCATGCTTATTAACAGTAGCATTATTGTGGGGGTGGGAAGTGGGGGTGGGAGGGCTTAAATCCCTTAGAAATTTGAAGAGCCCTCAATTTTCTGAGATTGTAAATGTTAGGGATCCCACTGACCCTAGAGAAACTATATCATATATACGATCTCTAGCCTATATCAGAATTGTCATTTGTTTTTTAAAAAATGAATGAAAAAAACATTACTTTATTATGTAAAAATTAAAATAAGCAATCTTAAAAAAAAAATTGCATTTAAAATTTAAATTTAAAAAAAATAATTTTAACAAAAACTTTAGAATATATATCTTGAAAAATTTTTTGAAATTTTTGACTGATTGATCTTTTAATAGCTGTTTTAGACGCTTGTAATTGTAAACAATGGCTAGAAACATTGTAAGTACCATTACCAGGAGAGATTGTCTGAAAGAAAATAAATGAATTTTCCCCCAAAAATGGAAGATATTTTAATAATACTTTTAATAATAAATTGACTTACGAAAAAGAGAATTGAAATAGAAAAGTAATATGAAAGTAAAACGTAGATATTTTGTGGTGACATATTAATAATGTTCTAAATAAAATTGAAATATTATCGTAAAAAAATAATTTTAATAATACTGGAGTGTATAAGTATTACTGTTTTCGATTATGATGGAATATAGTTACAAATATTTCTTAAAAAGGATTAAGATATTGTAATCGAAATCGAATTTGGATACATAATGTATAAATGCGAGAATCTTTAATTTCTTTTAAAAAATTTATAAATATAGAGGGAAAAAAATAATGAACTATAAAGGGGACTAAATAAATATATTAAAAAGAATGGGAAGGAGGATAACCCGATGAATGGATACTCAGAAAATTAAAGCGACAAATGCCCAAAGATCCTTTGGCGCAGGTAAAACATCTGATTGTGTTCTCCAATATTTAGCATATAAGGCTCATCTCCAAAAATCCTACTTCTCACCTGAACGCGAAGATGAGGCATGGTTAATTTAATTAAAAGATTCCTTGTGGTCTGGGATAAAGAAAAGATAACTGCTTCTTTTATTTGGATATTATTTTAGACAAAAAGATGCGATTTTAAAAATTTATTTTAAAATAAAGGCAGATAAACATTTCCCAATAACCAAGAAATGTAAGAGATTCCCGCGGAGCAGAAGTGCACATGCCAAAATTTTGGTGATACATAGGCCTCAAATTATGGGAAAGAGCCTCTGCATTTATTTTGCTGGGAGCCTTAAATTTTTTTGCTTTATTCCTATGAACAATTCTATATTCATTCTCTAAAAAAATATTGAATATTAATCTAATAAAAAATGATATTTTATTATATCTAAAAAATTATGATTTGGGTAGTGATTGATAGTTTGGATCCAGTGTGGTTAAATAGTTATAGTTAGTTTTATACGACCAAGACCAAGGTGAGCACCGAATCGAACATAGCCCCGAGCCATGACTCGAGCACCCACCCAAAACCAACTTTTTAATATAATTTTTATTGTGAATATTTTTATCAATCATATTTTTAGGCATAAAGGACGAGTATTCAATATTAGCGTTGAATATTTCTAAGATTACTTTTTTAAAAAATTTTTATCTTTTTAATCTGAAAATATTTGATAATTTTTACTTTACACTAGAAACTCGAGTTTTGATCAATAGACGAGGGTTCAATTCAATATTAATTTAATATTTAGCATCGAATTCAAAATAATTATCTTCTAGAACCGTAAAAACTTTATATAATCGGGTTATTTAGATATTTATGATTCATATATCATCATAAAAATGCGGTTAATATATGTAAAAAATTAATAATTTTCGGGGTCTGACCTGATGTCGTAAGCATTGGCTTAGGCTCAAGCTGACTAGATGAATTGGCTTTAGTTGTGTTTAATACCTCATCTCGTTGTGACATGTTTTTCACTTAAAAATCACTTATAATACAACCTCCCACCAAAGCCTCCCCACATTACTTGACACAGAATCTTATTTTTATTTTATTCCTTTGGTAATATAATGGAACTGAAAGAGTTATTATTATGTTTTCTTTTTTCCCATTCAAAACAGTATTAATCTTTATTTTGTTTTACCTTAATTGTAATTTAAAGATAAAGTTGTTTTTATATTTTATTCACTTGTAACTGGCCCTAGCCAGTTTCAAGGATGGCAAATACATATATAATTTTATATAGATACGTCGATAGATTTATTTTTAAACAAAACTTTTAGTATTTAAAAACAAAAAAAATATGATTTTTTTTTAGTTTGGATTTAGATTATGTGAATATTTGATTTTAAATTATATGGAATAAATATTTTGTTAGTTACGGCGACTGGTTTCTTTCAACTTAATAAAATTCGCTTTTATATATAACCAACGTACCTTTAATAAAATGATATTTTCTTCTTTCGGTTCTACCCGCGACGGGAGTACGATGACCAAAATGCCCGCTAAATCCGGTTCCTCAGTCCCAATCTTCGACCATCAATCTCCGTCGATTCCTCCCCCTCCTCGATGGTTGAATAGCCGACGATTCTGGCTCCAACTATTACACAGGCACCCAACGTGAATTCGATAATCTACGACCAAGAGGAAACAGACCATTTCCTCGAACGGTCCATGCTCATCCATCGTAGACAGAGTGACGCAAATCTATTATCCTTATTTTTATCATCGTGTGGACATATTCTATATACAAAGTTAAAAATAGCCCATGCTTCCCGAACCTTATCCAAGGCCGAAATCAACTAATTATCCGTGGAGAAAGAAGCCTTCGTTTTTGTGGTTAAGAGATTCCGACAATTCCTTTTAGGTAGACAATTTACCATAAACCGCTGCTAGTCATATATGGAAAGCAAATTTGGATCCCAACCATGACTTCTGCAAGGTTGCAACGAGGGGGAGTCACGTTATCATGGTTCGATTTTATTATCTACTACAAAACAGGAGCATCGAATATATACCGACGCACTCCCGACTACCACTCCCTGGAATAGACCACCCGAACCCCACAACTCCATGCAAATTTATCCGTATAAGACCCCGAATCCATCGCGGAGGGAGGGAAACTCTCATATTCTCCGACCCAAGGGGCAAACTGTAGCATCTCCGAACGAGCAGCCCGACAATCTACGAAGTTGAACCCGCAAGACCTTTTGAAATCCCTCCCCATGGGTAGCAGTATTTAAGCAGAAAGAAGAGTGGAAGTCTAACGAAGCACCGTTTTTTTAACATATTTTATCCCCACTCCCCCACCTCTTCTCTTTTTTATATTTGTATACTTTACTTTTTTATATCCCCTCACCCCCCCCCCCTTTTATTATGTATTTACTTTTTTTTAAAAAAATTAAATTATCATAGTGATATAAAGCCACTCTGATATGGGGGAACGGCGAAGGCCGTTCGTTTATTTTATTTTATTTTTTTTGATGGATAAGGTAGGAATTAAATCCGCACTGATTTGGCACTATGGCGTATTCCGCTTCTTTTTTTTTGTTTATTGTTTATGTGTAAAATTAAATTACCTTAGGATTAAAATACGCCCTGATAGCGCAATACGGTGTGTCTAGGTAAATGAACTTAGGTCTAAAGACCGCACTAATTCAGCGGTATGGCGAAGGCTGTTCGTATTTGACATTTTTTTAAGTTAATGATGACGTAAACTGCCCTAACCCAGCGGTACGGCGAAGGCAAGGTAGAAATTAAATCCGCTCTGATTCGACGGTATGGCGTATGCCGTTCTTTCACCTAGGATGTTTAATAAAATATTAAGTCCGGTCCCCCAGTAACAATCTTCAACTATCCCGGATCATCGAACTCCGTCGATCCCTCCTCCTCCCCGATGGTTGAACAACAGACGATCCTGGCTCCAACTATTACAGCTATAGCTCGAAGCTCAGGAATTGAATTCATCCTAATATTTGGCTTTAGTTAGTTCACCCAATAGTTGGCTCGAGTTTAATTTTGAGCCGAAATGCATTTATTAGTTATTTAACCCTAATTCGGTAATGAATATTACGACAAAAATTAATTGCTTAATATATAGCCAAAAATTGCTTTCCCATCAATATATTTTGCAATATTGATTATCCAAAGATTTTCAAGAACCTGTATTATATACCCTCTAGCAAGTAGTTCTAGCTGATCCTTACTCGCAAGTATCGATGGAAAGATCCTTCAGTGCACACAATTAAGTAACCTTATTACGAACTAAATTGGACAAATGTACATTAGAAAATTTTTTAATCATTGAGTTTTGATATTCATTTTTATTTATTTAAGATTTTGAATTCCGTGATTAATATTTGTGAATATATTGTTTTAGAATAAATAAAATTTTCAATGAAATTGCTTTAAAGTTAGGTAATACTAATTTTGAAATGACATCATCAATTGACATCGCTTGCCAATTGTACTAATTTTATCCGCAAATTCAGTTATAGTTTCCGCAGATCTTCGAAGTCTAACAAAGTCATACCTAGACGCAAAAGTAGTCGCTCGGTTTAAATATTTTAAGAGATATTGACTCAATCTCCTTAAAAGATAATGTTTCAATTGAGTCAGGAGCAACAACGATCGACTAACTATATTCTTGTTGCCAAAGAATGTTAAAAATAAATCTTTATATTGATATTCAGGACCTCCTTTTTTAATGG